AAAAAAATATTGTAGTTCTATGTCCAGATGAGGTTAGAGCTTTTAGAGGGTAGTATGTTATGTTTAAGGGTGTTTAAAGTAACTAAATTTTACCCCAAAGTTTAATGTCATCTGTAATATTTATATACATAATCTAGCTTATTCATTTAATTAGCTCATCACCATTGAATTATGTAGTATTTCTTAATTCCACAGACCACAATCCATGTTCAAGTCCAGACATGAAATAATTAATTCTCAACACTTGTAGGGTTTTCTTATGCTTTATTGAACATAATTATCTAATAAATACTAAATACTCCCAGAACATTAGAGACATTGAGTAAAATTTTACACTTGTTGTGAATATGTTCCTAAAATTAACGAACTTTTGGTTTCCTTGTAATAAACACTATACAATATAGTTTTAATTGGGAAAAAAAAACTGCAATTTTCATTTGATTCCTTTTCCTTTAGATTTACAAAGGACCAAATACCACCTTTTCCTTTTCCAACTATCTTTCAAATTCAAAATATTGCTTCAAAGTCTGTGCCGGACGCCAATATGAAAATTCTGATGGCACGCAAGAGGTATGGGGGCCATATAGCTCCAGCTCACTTTTGTCAACTTATAAGCTTCAGTCCGGGTGTGGCAAAGGCAGTGGACGGAAAAGAAGAAGCAAGCATAATAACAAGATAGAAATGAGTGACGGTACCTTTGTTCTATTCCTTCTGACTGGATTTGCACTTATTGCCATTTTGTGTGCTGTTGCAATTCAGTACTTCCTGATCAACTAGTCTGTTCTTTTAGAAATTAGGAAAACACACTACATCAAATTTAGAAAACCTTAGATACATCTTCACTCATACTTAAAAAATAAAGCTTATTGAGAGAAACTAGTAAGAGATTTAAAAAAAAAACTCTGCTCACTATTTAAGAACTTTTAATGTGACAGTAAAAGAGAATTTTTAGGAAAACTGATGTACCTTGAATTCCATCATTTTGTCAAAAAAATTTACATTGTTGTGCAAAACTACAAACTTTTGTTAAACTATTTCCTGCCTTAAATTTTCAAGCCAATCTTTTCCAAAAATTTTGAGACTATGAGGTAACATCATTGTTCTAGAATGTCATTTGGAAGAAAACACTAAAATCACTTCTACTTGTCCAGTTAAATATCCATATGAAGAAATAAAAAGTACCTACCAAACTTTGTGCTATCATTTGTTCAAAAAATGTATTCAGCAATTGGTTTCTACCCTGATAGTTTGAGTACTAGCTGGAGTTCTCTAAAGAACAGAACTGATAGAGTGAACACATATACTAATGACGGATGCATTCATTAGATTGCCTGACTGTATAGACGGCCTCCAAATAGTCCACCAATGGCCGTCTCATGACAGAAAGGCCAAGAATCACTAGCTGTTTCACTCACGAGGCTGGATGTCTTTGCAGTCCCAGTCTGGTGCTGGAGCCCAGATGATTCCTGGAGAGCTGCTGCTTTTTAGACTACATTAGAATCCTGAAGAAGTTAGATTTAATACTGGGCATAGCAATAGGATAGAAAAACTTGCCATGGAGAGTGAGGGAAAGCAGGCAAAAAGAAATGTTTCTTCTTCTGTGTCCTTTGATATGGCCTACCGCCAGAAGGTGTGGCCCTGATTTATGGTGGGTCTTTCTGCTTCAAATAATCTAATTAAGAAAATCACTGAAAGAAAGAAAGAAAGAAAGAAAGAAAGAAAGAAAGAAAGAAAGAAAGAAAGAAAGAAAGAAAGAAAGAAAATCACTCACAGGAGTTCCCAGAAGTGTGAATTTAGTTGAGTCTTCATGTAGTCAGGTTGACAACCAAGATTAGCCATCATGCTTTCAAAGTGAGGAAATAGTACTTTGTAGCTCTTTGCTATAATAGGAAATTAGGGAAAATGGAAATGACGTAAAGAACTAGTCAATACCACTGTAAGCTCCTTAAAATACACCCCATTCATTGGTATTGTCAAACATTGTATATATACACAATCGTCTGTATTCACATATACACAGCATACTATAACATTGTATACATACACAATCATCTATATGCACGTGTACACAGCAAATCATAGTTGTTTTCTTTCACAATAGGTGGAGTCACATCCATTTCTAGTTACACATGAAGCATCACACCTCAGTTCCCACAGTTCATGCTCTGGGGGTTTTTCTCAAAATCTGTCAAGAAACTTAATATGCTCACTGTCTTAGTTGGGGTTTCTATAGCTTTGAAGAGATGTCATAACCACAGCAACTCTTATAAAGGAAAACATTTAATTATGGTGGTGGCTTAGAGTTCAGAGGTTCAGTTCATTATTAACATGGTGGGACGAGGCAGCATGCAAGAGGACATGGTGTTGAAGAAGAGGCTGAGAGTCAGTGCATCTTGATCCAAAGGCAAGTGGAAGTGAACCAAGACTGGGAGTGGCTAAAGCATATATGAGATCTCAAAGCCCAGCTTCACAGTGACACACTT